GAAATGAAATCGAAAAACTCAAACAGAAACTTAAATGTATGGTCAATGACAAAGATTATGTAATTGTTGTTGAAACATCCGAAAAAGCTAGGGAATCAGCATTAAGAAAATCAAAAGCCACACAAATCAAAAAATTCAACAAACTAATTGAAGAAAAGAACACAGCAAATAAAATTGATGTCAACGCTTCATCCTCTATCGACAGAACAAAGTGGGTGATCAACCTCTCATCAAAAGAACTAAGCTCTAGTGAGATAAAAGTACTTGAGAAAGGACTAAATTTCAAAATAACAGTTAAGAAATTAAGACCAGAAGATGTCATTCCTAACATAGAAGTAGCGCCAGGTTCAATAGATAAGACAACAGCAGAAGGGGTTCGAGCACAGTGTGCATTAACCCTGAAAAATCAAAAGAAGGGAAATCAAACTTAACAAAATTGGAAAGAGAAGCTTTAATTAGTCTAAAACAGGATAAAAATATTGTCATTACAAAAGCTGATAAAGGAAACGCCACCGTAGTTCTGAATAAATCTGACTATATCAAAAAAGTTATTGAACACATTCAAACGGGTCCATATGAGGAAATTAAGAAGCCTGTAGATACAATAATGAATAAGGTTAAGAAATCTACAGCAGAAGTAATACGCAGAATGAAGCCGTCACTGGGTGAGTCTAAATGGTTTAACTTAATGCCTAAAACTAATAATGCTAGTAGATTATATGGTACTATTAAAATACATAAGCCAGGATACCCAGTAAGGCCAATAGTAGATTTTAGAAATACCCCAACTTATGAATTATCAAAACACTTAGCTTTAATACTATGCCCTATCAGAAATAATTCAAACTCTAGATTAACTAATTCATATGAGATGAAAAGTAAACTAAATGACATTTAACTAGCGAATGACGAAACAATGGTCAGTTTTGATATAACTAGTCTTTACACTAATATACCAGTCAATATGGCCTTAGAAGCGGTTAAAAGGGAACTAACTTCTGATTCCAAACTTAGTCATAGGACAAAGCTGCCCATTGAAGAAATTATTTTAGGGATTCAGTTATGCCTCACATCTACTATCTTCAAGTTCCAAGGCAAAATATATAGACAAACAGAAGGTGTAGCAATGGGATCACCAATATCCCCTATTGTAGCAGACATCTTTATGGACAGCTGGGAAAATAGTGCTCTCAATACATTTAATCCTAGGCCAAAAATATGGTGGAGATATGTAGATGACACATTCACAGTGTTAAAAACAGAACATATCTCTAGCTTCTTAACACATATAAACTCACAAGTAGAAGGAATAAAATTCACATTTGAATCAGAAAATGAACAAGGAGAATTAACCATGCTAGATTGTAAGATAAAACGAATAGAAGAAGGCAAACTACACACTAGTGTTTATAGAAAACCAACGCATTCTAATATATAGTTAGACTTTAATTCGTCTCATCCGTTAACTGCTAAGGCAGGCTTGGTTAAGTGTCTGACAAACCGAGCCATAGCACTAAGTAGCACAAAAAAGGACCTAAATGACGAAATAAAACAGAGAGAAGAAGCGTTGGTGTTGAATAACTATCCTAGAAAATTCATTAAGAAAATCAGTAAAGGCCAAAAACAAAATAAAAATAATTGTATAACTAGTAGTAATAACATAAATAAGAGAGAATATAAATCTTCTACTGTTATACCATATAAGGAGGGGACATCTGAGGCCCTACGTAGGATTCTCAATAAAGCAGGAATTAGGGTGGCATTTAAACCAACAAACTCACTCAGAGACAAACTTTGTAGGTTAAAGGACCCGTTGGACCCAATTAAACAAAATAATATAATTTACAAAACACCTTGCAATGACTGTGAAGTCAACTACATAGGTCAGGGATAGTCAGATTATCAGAACATAAGAGTTTAGCTAAAGGAAAAATGATTAACCCTGAAAAGATAAGTAATTTAGAAAAAAGCTCAGCTATTGCACTTCACGCAATAACAAACAACCACACAATAGGGTGGGATAGGGTTAAAATTCTAAAAAGTAATATAGGTAGGTGGAGAGAGAGGTTGATTACGGAATCCTTATTCATCGAGTCTACACCCAACACATGCAACAGAAGTGACTCAATGCAAATATCAGAAATATGGAAGATATTATTACCACCAGTCAGTCAAATCAGAAGAGGATGATAAATAGTCTTAAAATTCTATTTCCATTCAAACACATCAACACATTCTAACAATCAACTTATTATGACTATAAAAACACTCGTCGTATTTCCCATCTAATTGCAATGGATTAATAACACTCGTACTATTATTTCTGAATGTACATTATCTCATATTGAATTTTATTCCAATATCTAGTCGATTCCACACATGTATATAAATGAAGGAAAGAAGTTGTGTGAGTAACTTGATATGATTATGAGCAATAGTTTGTGCTCGAAACGTCATCAGTTAATATAACTGTACTACACAGTGTGATTTATCAAAATAAAATCTTATCCATTATGGAATGATCCAACATTTAAAAAATAAACTGCGTGAACTGTAACAGAAATCACATCGGTCAAAGTGGGCGCCCTCTTGGAATCCGAATCCAAATAGGCTGTAAAAAGGCAAGATATATATTCTTTCATATCAATGCATGTAGATAATTATGGACACCGATTTGATTGGGATAATGTAGAAATTTTAAATAGATGGAACACCAAAAGTGCCAGAGAATTTCTAGAAGCCTGGTATTCAAGTGAATCAGCGATTAACAAACATATTAATACAGACGAAATTTACCAGCTAATAAAAAGTAAATTACATGAGAAGAAAGTTCGAACTCCAAGTCAAGAAAAATGACTAAAAGAGACGTAAATGAACAAACAATCACGACAATAGTTGCCAGAGGATACAATTATATCATTCATGGGGAATTCAAATAAATTCATTTAATACTGAGACCTGCGCTGAAGATGTTGTGCAGAAGGATGACGAAAGCTTTGCAGCTAAATCGACCAGCTCAGAGAACACGACTAATTAAAAAAAGAAACGTCTTCTTATACTTTTTATCCTCAAAAAATTAATCTAGGATAAAAAAAATAGTTCCTAGAAGGAGGGAAATTAACATCACTAAAAAATTTAAGGAAATCCATTTTGTCAAATGCTACAAACTGGTTACTTTCAAAACATCAAATCTTTAAATAAAAATTTCTGTAGAAATTATTGTGAGGCTTTATGACACTTTAGTATTTGCTATTTACAGCACGTATAAGTCCTGGTTCTAATTGAGTCATATTCTTGTAGAGCAGCCTGAATAAATTTTTACAAAAAATATTTATTATATCAAAGAACTTAAGCTGTTCACTTAAGAAATCATATACACTTATGCAAAAAGCAATTGGGTCTGCTTTTCATGAATTGACGTGTAACACAAACAGTCACTTTCCCTAGACTCTAAGCATTTTGAATAAATCTAATCTATAATTCTTAAAAGTTTCAAAGAATTTAGTTGTCAGAATAATTCGGTCGGTTTTCGACATAGAACTCTGCGCCGATGTGCGGCAGTTCAAGTCGCCACACTCCATGTAGCACACAAAGCAAGAGAAGTAAGTAGGAGAAATGTATATTAGAGACAGTAAACAGAGGTGTGAGACAAAGGAATAGTAGCAACGAAGAACAATATAGTTTCATTGAAAATCATAGGTCACAAGGAGTGGATGCATCTGCGCCACTGAGAATGATTTTGAGCGATGTCACCATTTGTTTCCAACCATTGGATTTTACCGTCCCGAGAACCCCAACCAGGAAGTATACGCCTTCCTACGTGGCTTAGACTAACTGTTGTAGATTTCATTCACTGGTGAGACCATGTTTTGGTTTGACCGCCGCTAGCTCTTTTCCAGCCTGACCCTATGTCAGTCAGCTAACATTTCCCGTCAAGGAAGGCGATAGCTAGGCTGGATATGCGTAACACATGTCCTAACCATCTCAGTCTATTTAGCTTCACAGCCTCGTCGATTGATTTCCCCTACCTACCTAGCACTGGACGCCTAACCTCAATATTGCTCACCTTATTATACCACTTCACACGGGAGATAGAACGCAGACATCTATGATCGAACACAGCTAATCTTTTCATGTCTTCCCCTCTCAATGGCCAGGTCTCACAGCCATAAAGGAGGACGGAGCGAACTGTTGAGCAGTACACAGGCCCTTTGGTCGATAGTTGGATATCGCATCTACGCCAGAGACGGCGTAAACTGGCATATGCGAAACGTCAGAATAATTAGTTTACTAAATCAAACAATGTTCTACACTACAAAGTAATAATAAACTCCATCTTCTGGTAGCAACGCAAAACTACAGACTAATATGAGAAGCTATCAACTGTTGATTTGAAGAAAAATTCAGCCACTGGAACCCGATTAGTGGCTCATGAGTTCCAACCTCTGCCAATTTTTAAATTTATCACCAGTCAAATCCATGAAAACAAAACTTGCTAATGATTCTGATGTTCACTAGAGACTGGCTGTGTACAAGAAGTTATCCGGAATTCAAGTGAGAAATTGTGACCAGAGGGTACTACCAAGTCAGACAAGAAAAGTTACGCGCCTATCATATTGGTTGGTGATTGCGCTATATATATATATATATATATATATAATCTCGAAAAGAAAGAAGTTGGAATTCATGCACCATTGAACCGGTGTCCCTGAGGCCTAATGGTCTAAGAGCTCGCCTTGTAACCGGAAGGCTCTAGCTTTGAACCCCAGTGGGTGCGTACTGCTGGAGAGTCCCAAGACTACGACGAAACAACTGTCCAGTGCTCCTAGATTTGGTTATGTTATCGGATAAGGGTTAGCAATGTAGGTTAAGAGAAATAAAAAATTGTTTTTGTACACACACAGGAGGATTGAGGACTAATTGTTTTAAATTATTGATTTTTCGTTGTTGATTTCTTTCTATAATTTGATAAACGAGCATTGGTTTTATTAAAACCCTTTGCATAACTGTTTTTCATTAACAGGAATCTTTATATGTTCATTGTTTAAACTTTACTTTCCCCATTCACTTTTTTCAGATGTAGTGGATACTTTCCTTACTGTCAACACCCATCATTCAAACAATTTCGTTTACACCTGATGTACTATAATACTTACATTCTCTTTCCAATTGGAAATATTTCTGAGACTGCTAGTGTCTGGTTCACTTTAGTCTTATCAATAGAACGCTATTTAACTATGAGTCAATTGGGTTCAGTTTATCAGAAGAAACTCAGTGCTCGTTCACCTAATTTATCCCCTGTCAACCAAGAAGAAGAAACACTATACAGTTTAGGGAATATAGATCAAGAAACTCAAAAGACCTTTAAAGACAGAAACACACGCGAAGAGTCGGACGACAACTTAAGAGAACAACAACACAATTCAATGAAGACATGGTGTATTAGACTGTCTACCCATTGTCAATTATATAAACCAACCTGTTATTCCAGAAAGTGCACGCTTTGTACATGTGAACCAAAGAAATTTCAGATCCTACAAAAATTATCTTATTTTAAGTTTTGTAAATCGATAAAAATGTGTTCTTTAGCCAAATGTATCCAATTTTGTACCTGCAGAAATTGTCATTCAAAATATTCAATAGTTTTGATAGCTATTTTCAGTATACTATTCAATTTGCCTCTATTTTTTGTTCAGAAAGTTAACAGTGGAATAGTACCTACTAAACATTCCACTGAACAAATGAATAATAGTGCTGAGACCAATGAATGGATGCATACTACATCTAAGCATATGAGTAATTTAACAACATCAGACTATCAAAATAACCAAAGTCAAACACAAGTTTACATTGGTCTCACAGAATTTGGAAGTTCAGAGTTTTACAAAATCTTTTCATGGATACGTATTATGCTAGTACAAGTTTTACCTTTATTATTTTTATGTCTGGTGAATTTCTGCCTATTCCGGTTCATACATATAGCAAATAGACGTCGACAAAAATATTTACTACCAAAAGGTTTAAATAAGAAATCACGACGTTTTGAACTGAACAAAATAAACTTACATTGTCCAAAAGCGAATGGTGGTTCTAGTGCTAGATGGCAAGCAGCACAGCGTAAATTAACTATTTTACTTATTGTTATTGTCGGTTTATTTATAGCCGGACAAATACCTCAAGGATTTGCCTATATCACTATTTTTGAAGCATTTACTAGTCATTTCGGTAGTGTATGTAAAAGATGGCGTTGTTGTCAACCATACTTAATTTATCGTTCAATATCACATATGCTAGGCTTATTTACCTATGCTATCAACTTTTTTGTTTATCTTACACTGAATAAACATTTTAAACAACAATTAAAAATTTGGTTTCTATCAATATTTCCTAGTAGAAACCAATTACAAAAGAAGTATGCATCAAAACAAACTAAACCATCATACTATTCATATAATCAGTCGAAATCAGATGGTTCATTTGCTAGTCAACATAAGTGTAATAATAATACAAGACCTTATTATAATAACAGACATGATAATATATGGAAAAAATTTATTAATTTAAGAAGACGTTCATCTATATTATATTATGATAATAAAAATAAAATACTATCTATTGAAAATACAGATTTTCCATCTGAAGCTGTTTCTGCACCTGTCGACTTATACTCCAGTTCAAAATTAAGACGTAAGGTAGATTTTATTCAGATAGACGAAATGAATTCGATTGAAATGCCAAAAGGCACTGTTTATAATCCATATAATTTAAATACTAAAGTAAACTCGATTCAAACACCAGAATCTCTCCTATCGAGTAATCAGCCAATAACAACATTAGCCGATGATACATTGAAACATTTAATCATTAATAATCCATGTTATACAAATCAACAAAAACAACCACCACCGCAACGACAGTCTACAGTTTCAAGAGGAAATGATACTAACTACCAATCATTTGTTTCACTACAACCAACAACTAAATGTCATACAGAGATAAAATATGGTACAAATCATCCATTATTACTATATAAAACATTTCGTGCTTATTATTCTCATGATTCTGTTGTGAAAAAGTGGACATTTGAATTGAATTGTATGAATAATCAACAAGTCGTTCATGATATTCATTCAAATACAACAGCTCCACCCTCATCATCCTCTTCATCATCTACATCATCGTCTTCGTCAATAACACAAAACTATTCTATTACCTCTAATAGTAATATAAGGAATTTAGATAACTTTCAGCAAGAACAGACAAATCAGAAACAATTAAAGGATACTATATTGAATAATACAAATAATACACATTGTGTGAATTTGCTAATGATGCAAAATAGTAATAATAACAGTAATAACAATAATGATCATACTACCTATGATAGTAATAACATAAAAGAAAATTCGAAAATTTGTAGACATTCAATAGTCAATTCAGATTCTCAAGGTGTAGGTTTATCCTTTTCACATATTTACTGTCCTCTTGTATATAGAGAAAGTGATTTTGATGTTATCTCAGTAGACGATAGTGTTGAACAACATGAAACTGAGCATAATTCATTCTTGTAAAAAAAATCTATATTCGAAAAAGATCACACAGATGATAAACTATGCATGAAGTTCAAAGTATCAGTGAAACATACCTCATGATGACATAAGTTCTAATTGTATTAAAATTAAGAAAATGGTGTCGATTGCACTAAACAACAACAAAAAAAACACACATTGACAACAGATAAGGCTAGCTCAGGAAAAACAATTATTAAACAATTCACAGTGAATACAGCATTTTATACATTTAATATTTTGTATTATTATTATTATTATTCAGCATTTCAATACCCCATTCCCTCTTTCACTGAAGAACACATGCTACATTATATTATACTGTTCCTAGTGTATACTCACCCAATACAAATTATTCGTGTATTCCATTTTACAAAAAAAAAACTACAGAAGTATTATTTTTTCGATAAATGTATATAAAAAGTGCATTTATATTAAAAGGGAATATATCGAGTATGCATTTGCTAACTAGCAATTTTATTTTTAAACGAAAATATGTATACCAAAATATGTGAATAAAGAAAAATACAAAAATATTAACTGATTAAAAATGCCCATTAAAATTTTCAAAAGAATAGACACGGAACAAAGAGTACTCTTTTCGATAAATTCATCATCAGGTTCTACAATTATATATACATTATAATGAATGAATGAATTAGTCTTATGAACGACATTAATGTTGTTTAAATACCATCAAATCAATAATATTGATAGAATACAGCTCAATAGCATCAACATAAAATAAGCTGGATGTCAGAATAATTAGGAAAGGTAATAGTACAAATCCATGAGTTTATAGTCTCTACTGAGGGCCAGGGCAGTAGTAGGGGCTGGACTTGTTTCTTTTGGACACAGAGCACTGGTTGTTTGAGGCGAATTGCAATAGCCTCTGCTGTTTGAAGCATGTGGTGCTTCGACGATTTTGGTAGTTTGTTAGGCACCCGGTATATTATATTATATTGCCAACAAAATATTTCTATATTTTATGATAAAACAGAGGATTAATACATTTAGCTGTATATCTAAGAAAAAATAGGCCAACAAATAGTCAAACATTTCTTATGCATAGGGATACGGAATATATGCTTTCTATAATTCCACGGAAGCACCTTAGTATTTCCTTACAATTTAATCGAATGCTTCGCATTTCAAGATGGAAGCAATATACTACTCACAAAATTTTTTCAGGAGCACATGATGCTCAGTCTCCACGTTAAAAATCTCTAGCGCAGTCGTTACGAACATTTTGGGGCATTCACTTCTTGTTATATCTTGGTATCAATATCGTTGTCCCACTGTACCTATCTCTGGAGTTGCCTGTCTTTAAAATGGTCCTGTTGGCCTCCTCTTCTGCTGGTATAAACAGGACCAAATCTCTTCGCGAAACTGGTCCGCCTCCAATAGTACACTTTCTTTCTCTACTAATAAACTTGACCACCAGCCTCAAACGTTGTGCATTTCTTCGTTTTTCTCTGCCGAAATTTCGCAGCATCAACCTTCCACTTTTGATTCACACTTCTGAATGCTTCTTTGAGCTCTGTTTCTTCATCCTATAACACTGACGACGAGATCAGGACTTATTTTGTATTGGAATTATATATCAACTAAAACAGCGACTTATTTGTTATCCGATTAATCGATGCTAGTAAGCTAATAATTACAGCGACCACCTACGAATTTCCAGAAAGAAACTTTTTTGGTTCAGGATAATTCTTTCCTGTAAAATCATTAGTCTGGAAGTGATTGATGTCGTTCTCCTCCTGCTGAAACCCAGTTCCTCCAGGCCACTTTCAGTATGTGGAGCCGGAACTGTAAGTCAGGTCATAAAAAACAATTAATTCCTGCTTCATTCACAATATTAGTTCACAGGTTACGAGTTCCTACTTTATCTATTTACTCACTTATATGAATTGATCACCAGTCGACATTTCGAAAGAAAATAAGCAAACAGATCATAAATCAAGAAACCAAACTACTCAAATCGATCAAAAACTGCGGATACATGCAAAGACTACCACATATTGATTAACACTATCCAAAGTGCAACACCCGCAGATACGCATATTAACCAATAGAATGATTTCACAGGCTCTCTCATCACGTACCTCAACCAGAACTTCAAAAAACCACAAGGAAACATATTAAATCACATAAAACCATTTAGGAAACAAAAACCACCGTTGAAATTCTTCTCACACAGCGTCCTTAACACATCTGTAGACTAAGACGCGACAACAGAAAGCATACGCGAAAACTCGCACAAATAATTTAGAGCGGCCAGAAAGTATCTCAAAATAAGCATCCGTCGCAATTATATATTTACACCAATTATTCAGCCGTAGTGAAGCATAGGAAAAGTTTCAACAAAACGTTGTGATGACCATTCATTTTCCAGAGGGCTACGAAGTCCAGACTCTTGAAAACACAAGACAAATGTTCTCAGTGTGTGACCACTGTCAGTCCCCGATATCAGCCTCACAAGACAAGTCACAAATCCCATTCATCTCCTAACTATAACACTAAACTATGACTCAAATCTATGGATACGCTAAACACAGTTAGTTCACAACCACCTGAAGCAGAAGCAAACCTCAACACAAAACACGATACGTGAACACCAACCTTCACCAATCACTTCACAACTGGCATCTTCGGCGACCAACACTACATTCTTCAACACAAAAGTAACACATTAACTTCGACTAAAACAAAGTCTTCAATGTAGGAGCTATTTGAGAGACTAGCAAGAAAAACATGTCTCTGTAAAACCACTCCTTTTCATGTAGCATCCTTACGACACCTGATCACTATCAGGCTCTAACAGAATGCATACGCGCAAAACTCCAAACAATGATCTAACGCGGCCTACCCGCATCTCAAAATAACCATCCATCGCCATCAATCACATGTTTACACTGAAAATATCCAGTCGTAGTGAAGCATAAACACTGTTTAGTTAGTTGCTCACACCCTTCATTTACTCCTCCCTAAGAATCGCTCCTGTCTAAACTAAGGTGAAATTACTCAGAATTACTCTAATCACCAACAACACTCGGCTATACACAAGTAACAAAACTATATCCTAGAAAACACCTCTCAACTATTATCTAGTAGTACAATATCCCCAATCCTATTCTTTTCACCTACACCACATACACTGCCCCAGGACAGACAAACAACAAAACACCTCGACAACACTAGGCAATTATCGTGAACACTGCAGTCCACAAGGATTGCAGTGAGACAGAAAATAGTCACTTCGTCGAGCATTATCACTCCAGCTGCCCTACATCGGATCAAGCTCGACAAATACTTCAACATCAAAGGCACAAATCCCTCAAATACGTCATGATACAACTATCTGTTATATACTTTGGAAAACGTTTTATCAATTACTGTAGTGGCTTACCGTGCGCATCAGGATAACCAGGATCTAGGCCCAAACTACAGGGTTAGAACCATCACTTTTCGGCAATCCTGCTGCAGCCATCTGATCCACTCACCGCACAAACACCCACCAGTCTGAACAACCTCACTTGTCAACGCCAAGTACTCGCAAGCAGACAGCATGCAAATCTTCCCCACTATTTTGAATTGACTGTCTCGGACACCCTGTGGATCGACCGCTAAACCTACACCGACTAGTCGCCAGAACATACAGCAAGCAGCAGTTAACAGCTACAGCGCCACGGTTCAACCTGTTAGTCACACCCTCAGGCCACCAGTCTGACGAAAGAGCTTCAACTGCACACCAACCAAAACTATGTCTCCAGATTAACAGCTACACGCCGAGTCACGAAATCTGCAAACAGCTAACAACTGGAAACTGTCTCCCCCCGACACTGCAAATATCAGCAACCTCCCCGCGCACCAGCACAGTACACAGGCAATCCATAACCGGCAGGATACCAACTGATAAGAAAAGCAAAAGACTGAGTTAAATAATAAATTCATGATGTATGCATACAAACCGATAAAAACAATGAACAATTCAAGTAAGCAGAAGTCAACGACGTTCTCTTGACAGGGACCGACTATAGCGTCGAGGAGAGGAGGGAAGACGGTATCGATCATTCATCCTACGTGGGGACCGTCTCTCACGACCTGACGAAAAAGAACGAGAACGACGTCCATTTCGTCGTGGAGTAACCGATCGTCTGAAAAGTTAAAAATGAACTCATTTGCGAGAATGCATCCAGAGATTTATTGGTGTAAGTTAAACGAGGCATGCAAGCGATACCAATTTCACATGTAAACCAAACAAAATACACTAAATCATAAAACACCAGTGCAATAACAGCTGTCTTCACACTAACTAACAATTAGGCTACAAGAACCATACAGTCAATACACAGATTACACCCACTTTCCAAACATATCTATGCATAGCTACGCAGAAATAACTAACTACTTCTATTCTGCCTTCCATGACCTAAGCTAGGAGACGTCCATAAACCCTCAAAATAACATCTTCCTCTCAATTACTTCATCCCCGTCACGCCAACAACTAATCAATCCCTCCTCTCACAGGAAATACATCCCAATACGCATTACTCACTCTCTCAAAGCTCACCTACGCTCTCGAACGTAAATCAACTAATAACTAACGCATGGTCGCATCCAACTCCCAGCATCGTCTATCACATTATGCGCACAGAAACAAACTCACCCTAACAATTCGACTGACACAAATAAAAACATGAACAATCGAAATGTGCAGATGGTACTAAAGGCACGCAAGTGCCACTAGCGACCACCTCCTATCACTTCAATTTAGCATTTTTCGGAGACCAGAAACAACGTTCTGGCACTATGGAAATGCACTGAACTCGATTACACAGTTTACAACTTTGTCGGAGCTATCCATACTCGGCAACAACATTGCCAATGATATCACTCCTTTTAATATCGCATTCCAAATACACCCGACAACAGCCGTGCTCTAGCGGAATGCACGAGAACAGCAGACATCCTATGACAACTTGTGAGAGCAATTTTAACAGGATGCTTCGCATACCGCCAGTGATTGCTCCCTTTACTATCGCATCTTTGAAACATTAGACTTGTCAATCAAGCCTTCTCAGATGCATCACACCAAGCTTAAGCTTAAGCTTAGGCTAAAACCCCAGGAAAATCCAATATCACTCGAACGCACAACCACTCAACGGCAGTTATCATCATCAACAACAAGACCGCTTCCTGCTCTAACATCAAGCCTGTGACAGCTTAGAAACCATCTCAGACACAAACACACATCAAGCCATACATTGGAAATGCATTCACCATCACCGTCACTCCACACATTTCAACAAATATCATATCGTTCTTCTCTCACACTAATTAGCTATATCATTCTGCATATATTCATCTCCCTCTCTCTCCCCCCACCCCTATCATCTCCAACCAGTGACTCCCACAACCACACATTCACATCGTACACAATATAGTAGTAATACTTCCCGAAACAATACAAACAGGAAGATTCAACAGAAAGGCAAACAGACAAACAACCAATGCATACGCGTTGTGTAAGAACAGAGCGGACTCGAAGATGCGAATCAAACTCGTACCCGCCTCTCAAACACAATGAAACAACAATGCACCAGAAGACACCACTCACTCATCCACACAATTCTATAAACCTTCCACCACCATACGAAACCTACTACAGTTAAATGCACCAAGCAAATAAACTGAATATGCAACTGAAACACCACCAACACCGACAAACAATCATCAACAACTTCGACGAACAGATCGGTAATAACCTTCACAACAAACAATCAACTCACCACACTCATAAGCCGAAATTGTCAGTCCACGAAGACAATCAACTAGCCACGTCCTAACTTTCACTTCGAACAAAAACATTCACTTACATGGTATCTACATATCAATTCCTTACTGATCAGTGCAGTCTGAAACAGCAGTCTTCAACTCATAACCCACAATCACTCCGCTCAAAAACCAATGTATGTCAAACACCCTTCCATCAAATTAAATCATAGCAGATGTTTGAACAGAACGTTGTGATGACCATTCATTTTGCAGAGGGCTACGAAGTCCAGACTCTTGAAAACAAACACATGACAAATGTTCTCAGTGTGTGACCACTGTCAGTCCCCGACATCAGCCTCACAAGACAAGTCACAAATCCCATTCATCTCCTAACTATAACACTACACTATGACTCAAATCTATGGATACGCTAAACACAGTTAGTTCACAACCACCTGAAGCAGAAGCAAACCTCAACACAAAACACGATACGTGAACACCAACCTTCACCAATCACTTCACAACTGGCACCTTCGGCGACCAACACTACATTCTTCAACACAAAAGTAGCACATTAACTTCGACTAAAACACAGTCTTCAATGTAGGAGCTATTTGAGAGACTAGCAAGAAAAACATGTCTCTGTAAAACCACTCCTTTTCATGTAGCATCCTTACGACACCTGATCACTATCAGGCTCTAACAGAATGCATACGCGCAAAACTACAACCAATGATCTCACGCGGCCTACCCGCATCTCAAAATAACCATTCATCGCCATCACATGTTTACACTGTATATCCAGTCGTAGTGAAGCATAAACGCTGTTTAGTTGCTCACACCCTTCATTTACTCCTCCCTAAGAATCGCTCCTGTCTAAACTAAGGTGAAATTACTCAGAATTACTCTAATCACCAACAACACTCGGCTATACAAGTAACAAAACTATATCCTAGAAAACACCTCTCAACTATTATCTAGTAGTACAATATCTCCAATCCTATTCTTTTCACCTACACCACATACACTGCCCCAGGACAGACAAACAAGAAAACACCTAGACAACACTAGGCTATTATTGGGAACACTGCAGTCCACAAGGATTTCGTTGGGGGAGAATATGGTTAACTGCAGCTGACTGACATCACACTAGATGACATTCATATAATCCTATACCATACAGCATGCGGTCATCCTAGGCAGTCTAATTACTCATGTGCATGCAGCGAGATTATTTTGGAACGTGTAATAGTATTCGTTTGCTTATAGTGTGACAGGAATATAGTTTCTTGTATCCTGTCGTCACTGTCAAATGGATGCAATGACAAAATAAGTGGCTTAAATATATACGAATGCAATGATAATCTATGAAATATTTGTTACCTTCTGCGGTTTGGAGTTGGCCGGCCGTATTTAGCTCTCTGGACGCGAATTTCACGGCCGTCCACCTTGTGTCCATCCATACCACGTATTGCACAATCTGCCTCCCTATCTGAGCAATACCTCACGAAGGCGAATCCTCTGCTCTCGAAAGTATATGGATCTCTAGGGATGTAAATATCGCCTACAGTAGTTTGAGAACAAACCGAATTAATTTGTACTTACCAACCTCACCGAAACGGCTGAAAACTCTCCGCAGGTCATCAATGGTTGTTCGGTACGCCAAATTATCTACTTTTAATGATACCATCCCATCGATTCTTGGTGGGGATCGTCCGTATCTACTCATGTCTTGTATGGATGGAAGAAACCGGATGCTAGGCGCCTCGACTGCAAGGAGTGTGCAGTAAAACAAGGTTAACAGTTAATGGTTTCAATCTAAGTCACTGTATGTGAGACACTAATTTCACATCGGATATCAATCTTGAATAAAAACTAGAAGCAATTATTATCATACAGACGACAGATTGCATTAGGACTCCGGATTTTCGGACTTGAGTCCGAGGTAATCGTCTTCAGAGCCAAGGTTAGGACCTTATCAAAATTCAGATCCAGATTCAGATAAAGGGATAGAAGGCTCTGGTTGCTAATGTTAATCCTTGATATATAGATATCCGCAGAGATCTAGTTTCTCTTTGAAAGGGTTCATCCATTGAGCTGTTACTACTGAATCAGGTAAGGAGTTCCAGTCGGTGACCACTCTGTGAGAGAATCTAAATTGGACACTTATTTTTTTCTTCCTCGGTTTGAGCATTTTTCTTGCGGCGACCTCGTAAGTTTATCCTAGAAGGAGAGAAAATGTTTGAAAGGCCAATCCCTCAATCACCCTCTTATATACGGTATGCCAAAATTAAGTCACCTCTCTTCCTACAGTATGACAACGAGAAAGATTTAAAGTCTCTATCCTTTTATCATAAGGAAGGTGTGAGATACCACTAGCTAATGTGGTACCTGCCCTTCGTATTCTTTGTAAGATATTCCCTTTTCCTTAAAGCATCGACTAGCCGCTTGTTTGCAGTATTTTAGATGAGGTGTGACATATGTTGCCTAGAGTACTTGGAATACTCATCTAATCGTTTGAAAGCCCTTCGGAGTGCCTGTAGCATTGAAAAAGCTTCATTGCAGTTTTTCGTTGTTTTTAAGTCATGTTTTACAATAATTCCGACGTCTTTTTGTCCCTTAACATCTGCAAATGCCTTTGTCCCCCATGGAGTATGACGTGTGAGACCTCTGACTTAGCTGCATCACCGCGCTTTTCTTGGAATTAATTTCCAGACTACAGAGGTCAAACCATTCAGTTGATTCATCTGGATGGTTTGTAGTACCAAACTATGATCGTTATTATTTACGGTTTTCCATATCTTAATATCGTCGGCAAATATAAGGAAGATGAGGTAAGAATTTTTAGCAGTTCATTTACGTTCAACAGGAATAACAGGGGGCCAAGCACAGTTTCACAAGGTACAGCATTCAGTATTGCCTTCCACCCTAACATTACGCTATTAACCCTTACCTTCTATATTCTATCCATCAGTTAGTCGCTAAACAACTCACATAGGCGTTGGTCTAATCTAAAACGTTTTAGTTTACTAAGAATACCTAAATGGCTACCATTTTGAATGCGTTACTGAGATCGATAAAGACAACGTCCAATAGATGGTTCAAATCCCTGGTTTCCACCCAGTATTCCCTAGCCAACAGTAAGTCTGTCAGGCAGGATCGTCCTGGTCGGAATCCATGCTGTTCCACCACTAGCTAGCCAATTTTGTCCATATGAGCTAAGAGCTGATCCCTCTTGAGTGTTTCTGATACCTTTGCCATAATGCGGGTCAGACTTAGAGGCCGGTAGTCAGATAGTAACCGCCTGTTTCCCTCTTTGACGATGGGGCCTATAAAAGTATTTTTCCAGTCCCTGGATAGCCTAGCCTCTGACAGAGACATCTGAAAGGCCCCCGTAAGTGGAATGTGTATAATATTCATCAAGGAGATCGGCAGTCTAAATCGTTGTCCGTCGGTTTAAGGTGATTTACCTAGCTTCAGTTAAGACAGTAGTTTGAAAACCAATGCATCCTCTACCACAGCTGAAGGAAGTCCAGCGGCTATAACAGTGACCTTGTTATACCCCAGAATGGCACGAGAACTTTTCAGCTTTTGTTTTGTCTGACTCAGTCGTCTTTCCAGTTAAAGTATACCACTGCTATATTTAGTCCTATGTTTGATATACGAGTACAGTCTTTTCGGATAATCCATACAATCCAGTCCTAACTGTCTCACATACTCTATAAGACTTTTGTCAATCATATACTTACAAAAGTTTTGAATTTTGCGGTATTCCATCCGAAACTCATCCCTCACAGTCTCTGTAAACCAGTCCCATAAGCCCTTTCGTTTTCTAAATAAGCTACTTATTTCATCACCAATCCAAGGTGGATTATGTGATAGTTTTTGAGGCGTAGACCAAGGTAAAAAAAAGGTGCGGTAACGCAGTGTAGTGTATTCTTGAACTCTATCCAAGCTAACTCAAAGGTCCGATGTGTATCAATAGACCAGTCAGCTAAGTTTGCTGCATTTCGGATGACAGGTATGTTTGCTCTACAAATGTTTGGACGAGCAGTTGTTGACCTATGTATAACAGCGTGAATCCTTAACGTAAAAGTGATGACTATATGGTTCCTACTGCCTAGCAGCCGAAGGCACCTAATGTCACCGACATCCTCCCTTTGGTGTGTTACCAGCAAGTCTAGAGTGAACGGATCATGATCAAGGTGGTATCATGTTGGTGCATGTACATGCTTCATGAGTGCACGTTCAAGCACTATCAGCATGAGTTTCCTTTTGGAACAAGTGTACAAGGTAGGTGATATGAATTCCTCCCAGTTAATATGTGCGGCATTAAAGTCACCTACTGTTGGACACTTGTTTCTACTACTCCACGTTCTGAGGTGATTTAGTACGAGACCATCAGCTTGCCTGTAGGACTTCTAAAATAACCCCAGGTTAACTTAACTAGACACCGCAAACTCAGGTTTGTGATCACTCATGGACAGCGGATACTCACGATCTCTGCTAAGGGATTGATTCTCGAGCGCCTTTTCACGGAATGTGGTGTCTTCTACTTTTCCCCTCACCAGTAAATAATCCCAACAAGGTACTTGATCTCATTCACAGCTCTATAAAGTATATGGGCTATACAGGCAACCTAACGTTCCCTTGCATTTTAAGATAAGCCCGGTAGATTTTCAACAGGATTTTCGCCATAGTCGATTCCACTTACTGCTATGACAGCTTCTCCTGAAGGTTCGGACTATGTGGCTTGCTAATTCTAATCAAGAAATTGCCTGTGCTATACTATCCGTGGGTGCTAAATGGCGTGGATCCCTTTCTGTAATTTTCACAATTATGCCTGACTACTCGCCGTCAAATCTCTACAGTATAAGCTCAGCAAGACTTAATGTTACAGTCGATTTTCCCTTCATTTATAAAACTACTGTAGGTGATTTCAGCATGCCACAAGCATCATTACCTTCACTCTGGAGACCCCAAAGGTATGGTAATCTCCCGAATTACATCGTCACAGGAGGGTGGACACAACACATAGATCCACTCACTAGATCCACAAATATCCTAGACCCTATTTTCACGAACAGCATAACACCATCTACCGAACATGTGGGACATGAATTTCCAGACAGCAACCATAAAATAGTAGTGTGGTGTTTTAACATTCTTCCTGAAACAACACGGAGAGGTGAAACTGACCAGACACCTATAAGATTATACGCATATGCTGACTTGAACTTCTATCACCATCTAATTAGGTGCAATAATTGGGTCTCGTACCTTTCGACCAAGTACTTTGAGGCAGTTCATAACAATTTTTCTCACAATATGAAGTCAATTTGTGATGTCACTGCACTTGAGAAGATCCTTAGCTTCACATTTTCCCAGAGCTATCATACTCCGACACCATTAGGGGGAAGTCTACGAAAGCACCCAAAATACTGCAGATATCATGACTTATCACTATTAACTGATAATACGTCTACTCTCACTAGAACTCAAGATGTGAAAAATATAAGCCTCAGAAACAAAGAAATGTACATAAAAATATGTGAATACCCCTTGATTTTCTCAATAAACGATCGCCTGGCCCTTGTCTTCTGTCATTACAGTATAAGGTAGAGTTCTTGGCCTTATTCTATTCCTCTTATTAATAAACAACATAGTCTCTGTGATCAAGTATGGCAAGCCATACTCCTCTGCAGATGATCTCAAGATAGTTTATGATTAAAGGCGCGATAACATGAGAGTTGAAAGTGAAATCCAACACGACTTAAACAGTCTAGGCGATTGCAGTGAAAAGTGGCAAATGACTTCCAATCAAGGCAAGTGCAATATAACCCACTATGGAGGCTGGAAATCGAGAATATGTCTATATGTCTACGTAAATACCTTTCAAAACTGAACGCAGTCACAAATCTTGGGATGACATACTTAGATTTAACCTTCTCATATCATGCAAATAAGGTATTATGTAACTGTAAACGAATTACTGCCTTTGTTCTGTGTAACGTTTACACTAAAAATGCAAAATTAGCCACATATAAGACATGTATTCGCCCCAAGCTTGAACGCTGTGCTCTTCTATTTAGCAACCTAAAGTATGCAGGGTGAGACAAATATCGAAAATTTTCTGAGATTCCTCACGAGACTCACATTAGCGTTTGACCAACAAGCGGAATATGTTGACAGGTGTATGTGACTGAAATTTGAATCCCCGTGGTTAAGGATATTGAAGTAAAGCTTATTTCTGGTCTTCATAATCATTAGGAAACATTAATACAGTAACTCATCCATAACGTAGGCAAATATTAAATCATACCATCTGCGAAACCACGACTACCTTCTCAATGTGGCTACCCACAGAAAAACCATTAGGACGAGCTTCTCCACCGCTGAATTTAGCCCCTTTGCAACTAAATAACACCTGAAATTAGATCTTGTGACAACCACGATGGGTTCAAAAAGAGCCTAGAAAGACACATTAACATGCCCACCCTAGCTCGTCTAGAAGACATCAATTGTTGGTTAAATGGCAAATGAAAGCCAGTCCAGTCTTCAGCGTAGTCAGCTACATATAGCTAGACTCTACTACTTAGGCAACGGACGTTTAACCAATTTACTGATTTTCTGTTATCTATAACTTCAATAGGTTGCGTTAGTATGAGCATTTCTAGAAGAAATTATACAAGCAACTGCATCTTTTAATATTCTGCATGTGTTAATAGTTAATAATACACTGCTAATTTTTGTGTTGAAATGGCTACATCCAGTCAGCAACTACCTTTTCTCATA